TCTCTGCTTGATTCTTGCCCCCCCCAGACATTCCCAGGGGATCCCCCAAGGTTTATACCACTCCAGGGTAGGTAGCTAGCCTCTGGAGAGAGACCCAGAAAATAAAACTGAACTGGACTATCTACCCTTTACCAGGGAGCTATCTTATCATCCTCGGGGAACTCATATCCTTACTCCGGTAGCTACTCTCAAAGCACAAGTTATAACTGATGTTAGCCATAACAATCATGTTTAGAGAAGGAAGTATTGTTAGCAAACCAAGAGATTTAAACCAGTGCTTTTTAGTTTCTCGAAAGAGAGAGAAGAAAATAGGTCAACAGTCAAATTAAGACACCTTTCCTACAAAAGAGATCACTTCCAGAGATGGTAAGTCAGAGATTCTTCCCTGGGCCCTAGGGTAGAGAAAGTTCTGAGACATTTCTGTTGTCTATCCAGTCATTTAGGCAACTTTTCTTAGCAGCAAGATAAGCTATTCCTTTAAGGTCCATTTTAAATTCAATAAGTATTTGAAACTCATAGGTCCTCCTAGCAGTCACAATCTGCATAGTAAAGGCACTCTTATCAACTTTCTACACAAGCATGAATGGAGACAAAGATTGGCTAAAATAGTCCCATATTTTAGTTAGTATGTAAAAACACAAATGCAAGTTACTGATTGCTATTTTTCCTAGTGTAAGACAAAGCAGTTGTTTTGTGTTGCCTTAGTTTGACTTTCTGGAAGGAGGAGTGGTCTGACTACAAGGGATTCTCAAATGAACTCCCAAAAAGTTGGAGAAAAGTTTAAGGGGAGTTTCTAACTCACTAGCAGAAAGAAAAAGTCTAACTAAAGCTCAAGCTGGTCAAAAATCCAAAAAAATCACCATATAGAACTCTATAAGTCCACAATCAAAGTTCCAAAGTCAACAACCTGTCAGCAAAGGTATTTTTCCCCTAAACACATAAATGATGAAGACCATGTGGAGGGGGGAGAAAAGGTTCAGGTATCTTTTCATCTATCAAAGATTCATTTTTTAAAACATTTTCCTAGAGGTCTGTCTTATTAGTAGTAGAGAAAGCAGTCCAAACCTGACCTCAGCTCTTTACAGAGGCTTAAGAAAGGGGTCTGACAGCATCATTTCAGATCACTCTGAGACAGAGCATATCTGATGATCACTGACAGAGTTCCCCTTTCACCTCATTGAGGAGTCCAGATAGAGACAGGATGTGGAGATTTTCTGCTGATTACCTGGACTGGCTGCTGGGAGCTAGTTTCTTCTGAGGGACCTTTCTGTATCAGCCAGAGAGTAACCCTGGCCATGAAAGCTCACTTGTCACCTCAATTTCTGCTAGTTCCATGCAATCAGAGGTCTGTCTCCGAAAGGAACCCAATCGCCTATCTGGTCAACATTCCACCCTCCATTGATGTCAAGGGGAGTGGGGATTCACCAGAGGGCAATGGGAGAAACCTGTCCTCTGCTTTGAGAGTAGCAGCTTCCCTAAAGGCAATTACTAGCTGGAAGAGCAACCACTGTTTTGGATTCTATAAAGGGAAGATAAAAGCCTGAACTGTCTTTATCTGAGATAATTTCATAAGTGACCCATTTTACAACATTTTTAAGCAACTAAGTCCAAACGCAACACATGCAAAGCAAGAATAAAACATAATTTTAGCAGAAGACAATGCATAAGAAAAACAAGAAATTTGCAAACATTTAAAACACACAACTTAAAATTAAGACACTTTTGAAATAAAAGATGAAACAAAGGCCAGAATCTATGAAACAAATAGCCAGAGCCTATGAAATGAAAAGTAACAATCTATGAAGTAAAAAGACTAAAGTTAGAACCTATGTAAGAAAATTCTTACCTCTGACCTTTAATCATGGTGGAAGATCTCCAAAATGATACAGGGCTAAGACATGTAACTCCCAAACATACTAGATATCTGAAACCTGAGTTTGTGTTCTCTAAAAATCAAAGAATGAATTCTAGTAACAATGGAGGTTAAGGGTAGGAAAAATGTATTGGAAGAAAGAAAGCTTCTGCCTAGGAGAGACAGAAGGGGGACCAGAAAGTGGGTTGCCCAGGAATGGGCTACTTTAAAGAGATATAATAGCAAACATTTAATGGTGATCATCCCTCTTTTATATTTCCTGGACCAGCCTGGAGTCCAGGTCATTTTACCAAAAACTTGCTTGAGATCTTGCTATAGAAACAGTTTTAAAATATTTTCCCCTGTAAATCAGACAATCTGGAATAAATGGATAAATTACTATAGTCATATTATTTATGAAAACTGAACCATGAATATATAAAAATCCTGAAGAGACAAATTACAAGCAATTAAAAGGAGACAACAATAAAAACTTTAACAAGCAAGAAAAGCTAAAGACCCAATGGAATTTCCATTGAACTTACCAGAGCTTTAAAAAAGAGTTAATGGCAATACTCTTCAAATTTTTTCATGCAATTAAAAGGAAAGGAATGCTTCAAAACTCATTCTGTTAAGCCAGCTTTACCCTGATGCCAAAAGTGGATAAGGACTCAACTATAAAATAAAAACAGGTGCTTAACCTTCAATAAAACCCTTGCATACAGAATTTGACAACTCATTAAAACTATTATACACCATGAACAAAATTTCTTCATTCCTGGGAAGCAAAGATGATTCAACATGTGTAAATCAATAAATGTAATACAGTGCACAACTAGAATCAATGATAAAAATCACATTATCTTATCAGTAGGTTCAAAAAAGGCCTTTGACATGATAGAAAAAACACTCTGATCCAAATATATATAGAAGGACATTATCTCAAAACAATAAAAGCTATACATGGCAAATTTGTAGCTAACTTCATGCTGAATGGGGCAAAACTGAATGCATTTCCTCAAAAATCCAAATGAGCCAAAGATATCTACACTCACCACTTCTGTTTAATATAATACTGAAACCTTTAGCCAGACAAATCAGGCAAGAGAAAGAAATAAATGTTATTTTAATAGGAAAGGAAGAAGTCAAACAATGCTTATATGCAGGTTATATGATCCTTTAAATAGAAACTTGAAAAAAATCTACCAGAAGACTCTTAGATTTGACTGAAAAATCAGGATATAAAAGTTTCAGGATATAAAATCAACACAAAAATCAATAATATTCTTGTACTCTGAAAATGAACCCACTGAGAAAGAAATTATTAAAACAATCCCATTCACATTAACTCCAAATAATTAAAATAATTAAAAATAAATAATTAAAAAATCTAGGAATCAGTCTAATCAAGGAAGCAAAAGGACTCTATAATGAAAACTACAGAATTTTAAAAAAGAATTAAAGAGGACCTTAAAAATTAATTGGCAAGCCATCCCTGTTTGGGCGTAGGCAGAATGAATATTATTAAAAATGACCATATTACCAAAAAAATATATATAGATTTAATGCCATCCCTATTAAGTATTAAAATAGCAACAATATTGTTCACAGAATTAGAAAAAATAATCTTAACTCCTACAGTGAAAATTATAATTCACTGATGATATCATTCAAAATAGTACAAAGAAATGAGAATCAATCTCATATTAAAAGATTAGGAGAATCAATATTGCTAAAATGTACATGCTACCCGTAGAAACCTATGGACTCAATCAATACAAATGTCATCAAGATACAAATTGCACTATTCAAAACAGTTCTAAAATCTGTATGGGTGCATAAAATTTTATATAGCCAAAATCCTTTTAGTAAAATAACGAAACAGGAGAAATTATATTACTTGATTGCAAAATATACTACAAAGGTCCAGTAATCAAAGCAACATTGTGCTGTCATAAAAACAGACACATAGGTCACTGGAGTAGAAAAAAAGAGCCTAGAAGTAAACCTACATATTTACAAGTAACATTTTTGTAACATAAATTCCTAGGACATGCATTGAAGAAATGCGAATTTTGTCATAAATTATTCTGAGAAAAGTGGATGTTCATGTGCGCAACATTAAATATAAATGCCTATCTATAACCACTTACAAAAATCAACTCAGTTTCAGAAATAAAACTACCTGAAAAACAAAAGGATAATGCTAGCAAGAATTTTGAGAACAGAGACTTTTCCACTCTGCTGTAGGAATTCAAATAAATATAGCAACTATGGAAAATAATATGCCAAAGTTGAAAAAAGAAAACTGTATGATCCATCAGTCCCACTGCTGAATATATATCCAAAAGAAATAAAATCATTCTGTGGAAGAGAAATACTCCTTCATGTATTGCACCACTATTCATGATAGTCAAAGCACAGAAATAACCTAGGTAGGTATCCACCACCAGATAAATAGGTAAAATACTCGGTGCAATACTATTCTGACATAAAAAGAAAAAAATCCTCTTGTTTGTAACAACAATCATAGAAGTAGTCATTTTAATATTAAGTGAAATAAGCCAGGAAAATATATAAGTACCACATAATCTCTTTTATTTGCAGTATCTAAGAATGCTGATATTATAGAAGTTGGTGGTTACCAGAAGCTAAGAAAGGTATGGGCGGGGAAGATAGTGCATATCAGTAACTTTTTTTTTTTTGGTGCTGGGGATTGAACTTGGGACCTTGCCTTTGTGAGGCAGGCACCAGAACCACTGAGCTAAATCTCCAGCCCCTGTATCAGTAACTATTAAGTTACAGTTAGATAGATGCAAGAATTTCTGGTATGTAAATTTCAAAAGCTGAAAGAAAATTGAATATTTTAATTATAAGATATGATAGTTACTAGGGAAGACAGATATGTTTAATATTATTTAAACATCACACAATATATACATGTGTCAAGACACCATATTGTATTTCATCAAAAAGCATAATTGTTGTTTTTGTGTATCTTAAAAATAATATTTAATCAATAAAAAGAAATAACTAGGCTCAAAACCATTACAATCAGAAGACTTCATTTTAGATTAAGAAATATTATGGGGAACATGCAGAGATCATTTCTTATTTTGAACAACTAACTTAGTTATTTAAATTTCAGGTGTGGTTCCCAACAAGGGTCAGTTCCCTAAGGCTGGGGAAGCCCAGGAGCGGTTCCTGTGTACTGGTCCAATGTGTCGCTATGCAGAAGACCTGATCCCCATGCTGAAGGTCATGGCAGGACCTGGGATCAGAAAGTATGTTCACCTCTTTATTTCCTCTGTCTTATGTCCTGACACTTACTCTTGCATTTTTATTGGTAACATAGAGGTAAGTTTCTAGAATGCAAGCAATAATTATTAGATTTAAAAAATAAGAACCTTTATATAAGTGCATCCCAAATGGTCAATATACTGTGTAAAATATTTTAGTGACAAAATAAAAACAAAATAAGGCCTTACTTCATAGTGGAAACAGTGAATCTTTTCCTCATTTGACAGTTTAAGTTTAATGACTCATCTCCCATTAAATTGAACTTTTCAGGTTCTGTCATCTGAAACAACACACATATTTTCCAGTCTCATCTGAGGCATTAATTCTGCATAGAAATCTGTTGCTCTGGAAAACTTTAATCAGATTCTCTAGAGCAGTGGCTTAAGAGCAGATGTATTTCCAGAAAAACTGTGATCTTATCATCCTCTTTACATGCAATTAAATAGTACCATATCTTACCTCAGAAAGGAAACAATCTGTATAGAGTATATATTTAAGAGTCTTACCATTAAATTTCCCTAGGTCTCCATCAGATTTTTTGTCTCCATCCTTTTTATCTTCTCTTAGTGACAATATCTTTTTTTTGCCTTAGTTTATAAATACTTTTACCTATGATGTAGATCTCATGTCCTCTTACTGTTTCAGAGCTTTGTTTCTGTATGTATCTCACCTTATTATGATTTCAACCTCTCTCAAACACACACAAACACTTACATATGTATATGGATACAAAGAAGGCAATATACTATTAAAGTATACATATATATTGGAAATAGACAAATCTTTTTTTTCTCAGCCTCATATTCTTCTTCAGCTACATTTCCCAAAAAATATGACTAGATCTTATATTGATTTTTGGTCTAAAAAATATAAAAGGGCGTATTTTCATGGACTGTCTTAGTTTTCATGTACAACAATGTACTTTTCATGTAAAACAATCCACATTTACTCATTTATTCATGTACAAAAATCTACATTTTCTCAAATACCATCATATCATCTCTAGAACAGTTGTAACTCCCAAAAATCCAACCTGAATTTCTTGCAACTCCATTTCCTACAGAATCATTGGCCCCAGTGTCTCAAGTTCTTCAGTAAAGCTCTCCTTAAATGAACACTTCTTGTCCACATAGCCAGATTGTAGCACACTGGAAACACACCTGTTGGTGATTTTATCCCATGAATTGTTCACCCAAGTCAGGACCTCTTACAGGCAAGGCTTCACAATGTTTCTATTAAATCAAGTGCAAATTGAAGACTTTTTAGACAGAAGTGGCAACAAAAATGAGTCAGAAGTGGCAACAAAAATGATGACAGTTAAGAATGATAGTCCATACAAAAACAATGAAAAATTGCAGGCACCAAAATTCAGAAAACTTTTCTTTATTTTACATGAGTGCATTAACTGCTTCTGTTACAACACACATCTTATTGAATTATGAAGATTTCATAGAAATACAGTAGCTAAAAGAAAAATCTGACTTTGGAAAGAAAGGTGTCAGCAATGAAAATCAGTGTGTGGTGGGGTGGGAAATACAAGGGAAAAGTAAAAATACATATTTAATGAGCATAAAAATTAAGAAAAATTTGGCCAGGAGGCCAAAAAGTGTCACAGATTATTATTGTATTTCCCTGAAAATAAGACCTAACAGGAAAACAAACTCTAGCATGATTTTCAGAATGCTTGTACTATAAGGTCTAATACAAAAATAAGCCCCATTTAAGATCATCAGCCAAAGGGACACATTTAGTATGCCAGTTGCCACACAAGATAGACATACTGAATTATAAAATAATAATGTAACATATAAATATTATTGACAATAATACTTAAATGATGATATCAATTATAATTAAGTATTTATAAATACTCAAGCAGATGCCGTTGTATGAGAGGTAAATGCCTATGTAAACAAGTAAACTTGGGACTTATTACCACATGTCCAATCAGAGTATAGACACAATGCACAAATAATCTGCACACTTGATAATGAACAGATGTGGTTGTGTCTAATATTAACCTTCATAATTTAATACATCATGTGTTGTAATAATAGACATACTTAATTCACTCATATAAAATAAATGAACGATTTCTGAATTTTGGTGCCTGCAATTTTTTCCTACTTTTGTGTGGACCATCTTTAACTGTCATCATTTTTTTTGCCATTCTTGTCTCATAAGTCTTCAATTTACAATTGATTTAATGGAAACATTGTGAAGCCTTACTTGCAAGATGTCCCAACTTGGGTGAAGAATTCATGGGATAAAATCACTGACAGATGCGTTGCAATGCACTAGGAGCAGGCTCCATGGAAGAGACATGCTCATTAAAGGAAAGCTCTACTGATGGTCTTAAGACACTAGGGCCAGTGGTTCTACAGGAAATAGAATTCCAAGAAATTCAGGCTGGATTTTGGAGAGTTATAATGATGTTCTGGAAGATTATACAATTATATTTAAAAGAAATGTACATGATTATTGTACATGAATAAATGTAGTATTTATATATGAACAAATGAATAAATGTAGATTGTTGTACATGAAAAACAGAAAGTCCCTGAAAATACACCCTTTTGCAACTTTTGGAGTGAAGGTTAGTATAAAACCTGGTCTTCTTTTCTTTTTTTGGGGGGGGTACCAGGGATCAAACTCAGGACTTTGCACTTGAGAGGCAGGTGTGGTGCCACTGAGCAAAATTACTGGCAAACCTGGTCTTATTTTCAGGGAAATATGGAAAATATATGACAACTGAATACTTATCATGTGCAATGTAATTATAACTGGCCACACAATTGACTGCTCCCTTCATTTTGAAATAATTTTATACTTGGCTTTTGTGACTTACACTTTTCTAGTATGGCTTCTATGTTCATTGTTTTATTTTTTTCTCCTCCCTCATTGTCTCTTCTACTCATTTCTTATATATTCTAGTTTTCTGGCTTCTTTCTGTCTACTCACTTCCCAGGATGACTCCTACATATGCCATTTTTACTATACACAGATAAGTTCAAATTGTGCCTCTTCAGTTCACTTTTCTCATCTAATCTGGGGGACTGTGTATTTACTGACATAGTAGTTATCTCAGATACTTAAAATTCAACATATCTCAATTGTTCTAATTCTTCTAAGCCTTAAAAACCCAATTAGCTATCTATACTCTTAGCAAATTTCAATGATTGCACCACAATCAACCCAGATGCTAAGGTCAGATTCTCTGCCTGTCATTCCTACATCCTATTTTTGCATCTTTATATTTCTTTCCATCATTGGGGTTACAGTTGCAGTGTAGGCACATGTATTTCTCATCTGGACTCATATTGTAGCCTTTCGATTTTTCACTCCATCTCTAATTTTTTTCATCCTTAATTTTGACCCATTCCAAACTCTTTTCTCACCTGCAAACAGAATTATATTCTTAAGTGCAAATCTGAAATCTAAAGGAGTATCACTGTTTCAGGAATGTATTTCTGTGGGGGGCAAACTCCATTATTATTGAAAAATAATTGTTAAGATTGAACTAGTCAACATATAAAAACAGCTTATTGCTATTATTTTCTTAAAAATTCTCCACAGATTAAGACTGGATGCAAAAGTACATTTAAAGCACTTGAAATTTTACTGGATGGAACATGATGGAGGGTCATTATTAATGTCCAAAGTAGAACAAGATCTCATTCAGGCCCAGAAAAAGGTAATTTTAAATAGAATGAGTTTAATAGAATTTATAGTTAGTTAGGGTAAGTATGTGTGCCATACTTACCTAATATATTGGCAGAAAAATACAATTTTTAGGACAGGAAGGTTATATTTCATAGAAACTAAAATCAAATTGTTAATTTTTCTTAATGTAAGTTGAGAAAATGATGTTAATCTTGTCCTAACAGGATAAACAACCAAGAAGAAATGTTAGTTTTGATATGAGTCAAATTTTTTCAATGATTTAGTATTTTAAAATTTCAAAACTGCAAAATTACTTTAACCATTTCCCTAAGGTAAATAGTTTTATTAGCCATATAATGTATTTAACTATTTCCATTATCGCAACTACTTTATAGAGATATTTGAAGTTTTATCACTTCCAGGTTAAATAAAAAGAGCTCTTTTGAAGTACTAACTGATATTCTTACCTATTTCTAAGGCTGAAGTAAAATGAAGTTAGGACATTAAAGTTTGTTGAGGACATTTTATGGTTTATATCTTTTATCCTTTATTTTACAATAATACATAATATTTTTATCTGTTTTGTATAAAAGTAGACCAAGGCCTTGTATGTTACTAGATTACATTTTTAGTTGTAAACTCTTTTTCAAACACTCATTTACCAAAACAATTGGGAAGACAGTACAGAGTTCATGAGTACTATTTATTTGAACACAAATTCTCATTATCATTATCTTTCATTAGTGTGTTTTATGTGGTACTATAAATATTTATATGCAACTTCTTAATAGGTATAAGTTTTCTATACTATTAGGTGATAACAAAGAGGACAAGATGACACTTTGCATGGTGAGAAACTGCAAGACTATGTTCCACAGTTGTTGTAATAGGGTAAAACAGCAAAAGTAATGTTTCTGAGTATCTGGCATTACACAAATTATATTGTTCACTATCCTGATAGATACATACA